GGGTCAGCACACCTTGCTAAATTTGATGAATACCCATCGGGCATTCTCAATTCTTTTAACCATCGACAAACCGCTTTAGCTTCTTGGGAAGTCAAACTGAAACAAGCCTTGGGTTTTAATAATTTTCTATTCGGTTAAGGCTTCAACTCCAACTCTCTTCGATTACACCAAATTCCCATGTCTTGTCTGGCCTTCTCATTATCTTTTGTTTTTCTTGTCACATCCATCACTGTGTTAAATACATTATCAAAAAAATTCTTCTCAATATGCATAACATCAAGATTATGGCGCAACAAATTATCTTTCCAATACGGAAGATCCCAAAATATACTTCTTTTTGTCCAATTGTGGGTGACGCTGTATCCTTCAATTCGGCATGCTTTCCCAGTATCTGTAAATTTTGGTAGTTCACATACTTGGTTCCATATAACCCCTGGTGGCAATCGAGGCGGAGGCAAATCTTTCTCTCGTACATCTTTTTTAAAATTTGTCTTGTTTCTTCTATATGGATGATTTGCTGGTAGGAATCTGCGGTGACAGTCAAACCATGAGCTTTTCCCACCTTTATCCAACGTAAATGCTTTCGTGTATCCCATGCAATGCAGACAACCCATTTTTCCATGCGTACCCCAACCAGACAACATGCCATATGCTGGAAAGTCATTAACGGTCCACATCAAGGCAGCTCGTAATGTGAAGTTCTGTTTACGGGATATATCATAAGTCCATTCTCCAATCCACATCTTCTTCAAATCATCAATTAAAGGTTGTAAGTACACATCAATTCCGGCTTTTGGACTGTGCGGGCCTGGAATAACACACGTCAAAAACATGTATGGTTTTGTCACGCACATCTCAGGAGGGAGGTTGTAAGGTGTTACAACCAACAAGAATACGCACTTCCTGACGCTTGCACGTATGGGGCAAATCCATCAGAGCATAATCCAAGCCTGACATTTCTAGGTTCTGCAGCAAAATCTGGATGTGTCCGATCAAAGTGCTTCCATGCCTCACCATCAGATGGATGTCACATAGTGCCAGAACTTGTTTGGTTTGTATGATGCCATGTCATTTGACTTGCACTGTGCATTGAAGCAAACATTCTTTTTAACCTTGGTATTATAGGAAGATAAAACATGGATTTTACTGCTACACGCTTTTGCTTGCTGTTAACGGCTCTACTGCGAACTTGATATCTTGGACTATTACAAAACTTACACTCCTCTAACGATCCATCTTGAGTACCAAACTCATTGTCATAAAACAACATGCAACCGTTAATGCAACAGTCAATCTTTCTTACTTTTAAACCCAACTTCGACACCCACTTCTTTGCATCATAATAACTTGTAGGCAAATTGTCTTTCGTAGCGGTGGAGTCCAACATCATTTTTGCAAAATGTTCCAGACATTGATCAGAAACATTCCAATTTGACTTGGCGGCCAATAATCTCACACACATTGATAGCTTCGAGTCTGACGACCCCTCAAACAACGACGTATTCATCTCGTTCAATAATTGATAAAATCTTTGCGCTTCCTCATTCGGCAACTCTTCCCCGTCAAAATCTTCAGGTTCATCATATGTCACGTTCACACCAAAAGCATCCTCAACCATGTCACCGATCAAATTAAAGTTCTCCTCATACTCCATAACCGGTCGACTACTTGAAGCATGCGTGTTGCTAGTCTCTGGTACATTAACCGGTAGTTCTTCACCATTATACGTCCAAACCCAATAATTTTCAATGAATCCCCTTCTATGCAGATGACGTGTTACTTCCTCTGGGTCACTAATTATTGGTCTACATTCACATTTAAGACAGGGACACCTAACCCCTCCTTCGCTTCGACAACAATCCTGAGCAAACGCCCACTTAATAAACCCATCAACTCCTACTATAAAATTGGGTTTAAGTCCACTTCTTCCTGGATATGTTCTATCGTACATCCAACTGCGATAATACCGATAATATTCCATACTGCACATTTATACAATCATTGTCTTTTTCATTAGAAATATTAATCAACTTAATAATATTATTCTTAAACTATTTAATACTATTCTTAAAAATATAAATTTTGCTTTTTTATATATATACTAACATATAAATAAATATTTAAATGTAAAATATATAATTTTTTATTACATAACAATAATATCAAAAAACAATAATATAACATATTTACTTTTTATTATATATATAACAATAATATTAGAAAACAAATAATGTAACATATATACTTTTTATTATATATATAACAATAATATTAAAATAATAATATAATATATATATTCTTTTTTTAATTATGTTTTTTATAAATTCTTATTTTAATATATAATTTTTTTTCCATATCTTTAACATATAAATAAAAAAATAAAACTATTATAATAAATATAATATACATCTATAAAAAATATGTTATTAAATATGTTATTAAATTTATGTGTTAACATATATATATATATATATATATATATATATATATATATATATATATATATATATATATATATATATATATATATATATATATATATATATATATATATATATATATATATATATATATATATATATATATATATATATATATATATATATATATATATATATATATATATATATATATATATATATATATATATAAACTTTTAATTTTATGTTTTCTAAAAATTTTTATTATCAGTACATATATACTACTAACAAAATACATATACTTCCTAACCACAAAATACATATACCACTAATCTATATAATACATATAAAATCTATAAAAAAAAATGCATAAATACTTCTATATAATTTCTTCAATAAATTTGCGTCTTCTTGGATAGTTCTTGGTGTTCTTCTTCAAATTTCTCTACAAATAATAATGAACAAACGAACAAATACCCTTTTTAATATTTCTTTCCAGTATAATAAATAATGAACAAACGAAATAAACATTTATCAAAATATGAATACCTTATTTTTCTTCAACAATTTGGGATGGAGGAAATTTGATTCGAGAATTTGGGTTTGAGAGGAAGAAGTATGGGTTTGTGAGAAAGAAGAAAGGAAGAGGAAGGAAGAAGAAAGCAAAACAACGCTTCTGTAAAAATGAAAATTTTGGAGATGTAACGTCTAGTAGCGACGTGACTGTCACGTCGCAACATTGCCACGTGATAATCACGTCGCTACAAACTAAACAGAAAAATTATTCTCTGTCCCACTCTGCAACTCTGTCATCAGCCAAATTTATTTTCCCCCCTAAAATATAGCGACGTGACTATCACGTCGCTACCAAAATTCAAATTTCCCCATTTGCAACGTTCTCTGATTTGTATTATATGTCATTAAAATATATTAGCGACGTGGTTATCACGTCGCTACTACTCACGTGATAAGCACGTCGCTAATATATGTCGCTGGAGACATATATTCTTGTAGTGAATTTGTACAAAATGAACACCCTGAATCCTAACATTAATATCCCTATTTATACTAATTTTACACTCTTTTAATTTATTTCTTCTTAATCATGTGAAAACTATATTTTATTTTTCAAAAATAAAATTATAAAATTATTATCAATTTATTTTCATAAAAATACGGTCAATATAAAAAACATATATTATTTCTATTTTAAATTATTTTTATATTACTATAAAACAATTATCAAAATTAATTTAATAAAATATATCGCACGTATAATCTTCTAGTATATAGGGCAATAGTAAAAGGTATTATGAGAGAACACATATTTAAAAAAAAAAAATTCCCAAATCTTATCAACTTTTTCTTTGGTTGAGAAAATATTTATGTAACCCAAAAAAGAGAATAGAAATGTTACTATTATTGAATGTAGTGGGCCTTTTGTTTTCCATAGTGGAAGCTGAAGGAGCATTAAGACCATGTCTTCTTGTGTTGGTTGTTTTGTGTGGGTCATCTCAAACACTACCCGGTTCATTTTTTTGTCTTTCTGTTTGTCCCTCTCACATATACATACAATTACAAATACTTTTATTTTTTTTATTTCTACTCACAACTGTAGAAAATATACGATATGCAGAGATTAATTATTTAAATTAAAAATAACTACAATGATATTATTATTATTATTATTATTATTATTATATTTAAAAATAAATAATTTGGAAATGGAAATAGATAGAAAGATACCTTGAAATTGGACTAAAGAAGTGGTTGTAGTGCATGCAGCAGTAGTAGTACATGTACTCTGACTTCTCTAACTTTCCTCCATCATATCACTTTTCTAACCTCTGCTTTCCCATAATACTTTGTCCTCTCTCTCTCTCTCTCTCTCTTATCTTCTTATATCTTTCTATTTCCATACTTCAAACTAGCATACTTTCACTCCATTCCAACAACTACCTAACTTCATGTTTCTTCACTTTTTATGTAAGTGTTTCTTTCCACTTATCACATCAACTTCTTCAAACATGCATTTCATTTTTACTTACTTTTTTTCTAATTATGGAAACGCTGCTTCTGGTGATTATTTTTGTTGATCTCAATTTGCTTATTGAGTATAAAAATTAGATCTAAGATAGTTAATATTTGTTTTCTAATTCCTTTAGTAGTTGTAGTTTTAATCTCTTAAGTGCTTTTTTGGTAGTTTGATGTTTCATTTCAAAGATGCTTGAACTATGAACTTAGAAATAAGCTGAAAAAAAATCAATTCTTAAAAAAAAAATCATGGTTTGGGAAGGATATATAACTCCCAAACTTGTGACTGATGAAGGGTAAATATATCTAGGTCATATCAATAAAAGATTGTAATGCTAGTTTTTACTTGATGATTTTATTTTTTTTAGGGAAATTAGCACTTAATGCTAATAAGCACTTTGTTAGTACCTGTTTGGATAAACAAAATTATATGCTTGTAGCATAAGTGCTTATATATTAATGCACTTAATCAATAATGCAGGTGATTATTTGTTGCATTCCAATTGTTAATTAGGATAAGCAGATTTCATATTTCATAAGAACGCAATGATTCCGAATTTGAACTTGGAAGCTGAAAATAGTTTAGAAGAAAGTAGCCAAGTAGGTTCCAACATTTACTTACAAGAAACAACATCTTATGATGTTACCAAAGACAGTGCAACAACTTCCTGTCTTACAAATCTTCCAGATTCCGTGTCCCTTGACCTGACTCTCACATTCGATCCGAGCGACGAAGAATTCAAGGAAACAAGCGACACGAACAGCGAAATAGTAGGAGCTGATCGGGCTAATATCACCACCGCGCCAGCGCCACTGGTTCATAGAGTTTTCTCTTGTAAGTATTGTAAGAGGAAGTTCTTTAGCTCGCAAGCGTTAGGAGGACACCAGAACGCTCATAAAAGGGAGAGAACGATGGCGAAGCGCGCTATGCGAATGGGAATGTTTACTAAGAGGTATACAAGCTTAGCTTCTTTACCTCTTCATGGTTCTTCTCCTTTTCATTCTCTTGGTATTCAAGCACATTCTGCAATGCATTACAATCACATGTCATCGCCATCGTTGTCGTCTCTGAGGGCTAATGATATGAGAGCCATAACGAAATTCGAGAATGAGTATTTCGGAGCAGCGCCAATGTTTATGCATAACGACGACACGGGTGTGTTTTGGCCGGGAAGTTTCAGACAGGTAGATCAAAGTGTTCATGGTCATAATTCAAATATGAATACTGGTTTTGTTGTAGCAATAGCAACAGAACCTCCTCAACAAACATCTACTGTATCTCCTGATCTCACTCTCAGGCTTTAAGATTTTTGTGGCAATAAATAACTATATGTCATGTTCATTCTCTTTGGACATGAAATTACTAATTTATAACTGTGCTTGAATTGTAGAGTGAGATGTGTTTCTCTAATGACATGTTTATTTCTTTTGAAGTTTTCAGTTAAAATGAGTAAAAAGTGATGAATCTCTTTTGATTATTGCATCAATTTGTCATTTGCCAATTCTGTGATAATGTTTTGAAGAAATAAAAAGTTGCTGGCTGTGGGGTTCGAACCCACGCGCACTTATGTGCAGAAGATCTTAAGTCTTCCCCCTTAACCTCTCGGGCAAACCAGCTTGTTGTTTGTTTTCATCCATATTTACAAAGGAATATATTGAGTACTTTAAATGTGCATTTATCAGTTTTCTAAACATAGTCCTTTTCCTTCTGAGTCTTACTAACGTGATTTTATTCATTCTGGTATTTGGGAACTGGCATCTGTTCTAACATTTCTAGTGCGAGATAGTTTTTTTCTTCTTTTATTGATAAATGTTCTCCCGTTACTTAGATTTTCTTAATGAATAATAAATTAGAATAATTAATTACAATTATTTATTTAATTTTATAATATGATGCAACTCCAACCACAATTTAAAAATATATTAAAATAATATATTGTGAAAATGGTAAATAATATCTCACTCATAATATTTCCAGTTTTACTAGTAAATAAAGTATATTTCGTAGATTCGCTTTCGTCAACGCACAATAGTAAAGTACTGTCGCTAATAGAAAAAAAACATCACATGTCGCTCATGCTCTTCTCTTCCAAACGTATCTCCAAAATATCATATAGGGTGAGGTTAAATACTTTTGACTTCTATTTATCTAATTAATCTCGTGTCGTCTCGTATTATAGATAATAATAGTTTTGTTTAATTTATAATCTCACTTTTTCCTTAGGTTGCTATGTTGTAGGGTCTCCAATTTCGAATATTTGGGTGTATAACTTTTTTCCATGTTCATAAGCAACGTGAAACTAAGTTGAATTCTCGTCACTACTATGTAAATTTCATTTCACAACGGTTGAAAAAGGGATACCACCACGTCTGACCAACCGTTTTGAGGTAGGGATGGTTGAATGTATGATGCTTTTCACCACGGCCGTGTGATTGTAATTATAAACTATTGTGAAGACGAATCTGTATGGTAGCCATTTTCTAAGATTTGATGCAACAAAGGTAATCCTTTGAAGAAGACGAGTTCGTTGTATGAGTTTGGAGTTTTCATATGAGAAAGACAAGTGAGAGAGATGTCAGGGTTTTGTTTTGAGAAAAACGAGTGAAAAAGATGTTAGAGTTTTGTTTGGAGAGAGACAGTTATTATATACTAAAGCGAGAGATAAAATGATTACACCTTACACCACGTTTGATTGTAAGAACTGTATAATGATATACAAGACTAAGCTCATTTTGTCACAATAAATAGAAAACTTTTTATATTGGAATTTGAACTCTTTTACTCCATATACATTTCACTACGATTGTTAATTATGACTATAGTGAAATGTCCTTTAATAAATATAAAAAAAAATATCCAAAAAAAAATTATTACCACGGTTGACATATTCATTGTTGTAATATGGTGTTACGAAAGATCTATTACACGATTTTGACACTTTTATAGAATTCCATTTTAGATCTCAAAGCCGAGTCAGATAAAACAATCTCCCACCATACCAATTTATTTTCATTATTATTATTTTCTTTTTCGATGGACATTCATTTCTTCTTATGATGTTTTTTGTTTTTCATAGTTTTTCCATGATTTAGTTTTTCATTGTTTTTCATCGTTTTTCATTATTAATTTCCATGATTTCTTTTATTTTCCTTCCTTTATTAATTTTGTTTTTGTTATTTGCTTGTTTTCCCGTACATAACTTATGTTGATGTGAGTTTATTGACTATTTTTATATAGTTATCTGTTTGTCATATTTTTCATTCAAAATCAAGATAAGTTGTGAAGGGAGGTTTAAAGGCTTTGAATATGTCAAGTTTGGAACAACAAAAGCATGGGAAAAAGTAAGTTTTTGCCCATATATTATTTCAGCAAGTATTTTTTCAAATGTCTTCTAACTTTTATAACTTTCAAGAATTTATGTTCTTCTTCGTACAAAATATATTATGTTAATTATTTCAATTTAATATGATGAGGGTTGTCAAAGTTACTGTTTTTTTAAGGGTGATGACTTTGAACTGATGGATAAAAAAAGACAAAAGATATGATCGAAATTTTGGTGTATAAACTTTTATTATTTGTTCTTATTTTAAATTATAGATTTAATTTGTCATTTTTCGATTTACAGGAAATTTGCCTTTGCAAAACTAGGGGCATTTGAGATATTGAGGGGGTGATACTCAGTATTCTCAACACCAATCAACCATAATTATAGGTGTTTTCAAATTTATAGACTACAGTATGCTAAAGGTCATTCAATATACTGATTGAGATTACACGTAGAGTTGTCAGGCTATTTGGGACAATACAGTTTCATCCTTATGTTTACACAAATTAGGTAGAAACTTCATTTACTTGTAATAGACATGAAAACTAAGGAATACAATTATGTCCTACCAACTATTATGAGATAAGATGTGATTGTATGTATGATGCTTTTCATCATGAACGCATGACCGCTGTGATAAACAAGATGACGCTCTATATATCACAACGGTCAATCACAACAGTCAAATTATACAACCAATATGATATAGAGTGAAATGTTACGAGTTTGAAACTCAATAATTGTATGATTTTTAATATTTTTGCGCTCTATCTATAATAATGATTCGTATAAATAACTGCGATTAAATACTTTATTTATTTTATTTTATTTTATTTTGTTTTTCCATATATTACAAACTTGTATTCTATTTTATAATTAACATGTGTAAAAAATATCAGGTATATTATGACTTGTATACAAAATATATAATTTGTATATTATACATATATTAGCTAAATATTCACAATATAAAGTTAAGGAACAAAAATATATTTATAATCATCAATGACAAAGTCATACAGTACCACCTCTTTTTTCAACCAACACATTGAAAATAAATACCAAACGTCTACGGATGTCGTCTAAGTCATCAGAAGAGAAAGGTGTCCTGTCGTTGAACGTTACACAAGTGAAAAATTGAATATCACATGATTTAAATTATAATAGCAAATTACTTTAACATTAATATGTTAATGTAAACATTTAATATAATATTATATATACCTGATCTCACGAATCAACAATGTTGGCAGAGACGATGTTAAACATGTGTTTCATTACTTAATATCTACACTTGTATCCTCCTGCTTGTTTCCTAGTCTACAAATTTAAACATTTTATGAATATATAACCACACATTTCGTGAATATATATAATTGAATGTCACAAGTAATCCACTTACCTTAGGCTCACAAAATGCGAGTTTTTTTCTAGAGTTGTTCATCATATAATGTCTCTCCACAACATGATAGACTGAAAATGATTTAAAATTATTACACGCTAAGATAATTACAAATTTAAAGAAAAAATTAATAAAAATATCATAATTATAAAGTTACCTAGTAGTGATATGTTTCATCTTAGGTTCAAGTGGTTTGCCCAATGAACACAGTGTAGTTACCATATCCGTCTGAAGAGATATGAAAGTTAATTGAAAACGATCTCTAAATGACTAATACAAGCATATATAATTAGTATTTGGTAAAACATGAAAACTAACTATAATAGATAAACCATAATTTTAAAATTACTAACTTATGGAGGAATGATGCTAAGTAGCATTCTTCCCCCCTATTCGTGATGTTAAGAAGTCTTCAATGTTTTTTGGAGAATTACTTCTAAATCATATTCTAACTGGATCCAACAATTCATATGTATCTGATTTATTTAACTCTATACAAACACAATGAATGTACCTAAATGGTTAAACAAAATACAAAAAACACGTGAGAAATTAGATCTATACAAAATAATGAATGTACCATAATTAGATAAACTTCTGTGCACCAACCTTGTAGTAACCCTACGTACATCCAACCACCGATTTCCAACGATCATATCCTTTATATCTTTAGGAAAGCATAAGAAACTCTCAAACCCCTCTATATTTGGATCACGTTCTAGCGCAAGAGTAAATACCATTTCTTCGTTGCGCATAACGTAAGATAACATTTTGAAATATGATCCTTCAGAGGAATTCAATAACCCATTATGGATCTCATTACCGGTGGGGCAGCTAAACAACTCCCTTTGGTGCTTGCACCATATACAACATAAAAAAACACTATGGGAGGTTATATTTATTATCTACATCCTAAAAAACATAGGAACACAAAACAAAATTAAAACAATATATATCATAGATTCAAATATCATAATATTTTCACTTACTACATATAACTCTTTTATTTCTTCCAATTTTTTCCTGCGAGTTTACCGCTCTTCCTCTAAATTCTCTTCAAATTATTTCTTTTGATTATCCATATCCCTCTCAAACTCTTCTAATGTTTCGTTTTGCATCTGTCTGGTTCTTTTTCTAGATGTACCAAAATACTCTCTCAGGATGATGCTTTCTCCAACACCACAGACACGCCCACCATGCTCCTTTGTTCTGATTACTTTTACAAATATACCATGACGTGGTTTGGGAACAAGGGAACCTTCACAAGCTGAGATAAACAATGAATCCTATACAACATGATAAGACATACATTGTTAATTTAAATAACACTTAACATATGCACAACAAGTCTTGCTTAGAAGCTACTAGAGTCATGTTGCATGCCAAGAATCTTCCTTACCATTTATATATGAACTTTGGAAAAGAAAAAAAATCCAAATATGAAGTTCTTCAATGTCTTTGGGAGAAAATGCTTCATCTTGGAAGATATGAGCAAAGGATAAAGATGGATCCAAAGAGTGATGAAGGTTTATTGTTAGGACACTCTATCAATAGTAGGGCCTACAGGGTATACAACA